CCCATAGAAAAAAAAAATATATATATATACACACTTAAATAATTGGATATACAATTAGGGAAATATGAATAATTTTAATATTAATTATTAAAGGTGGGTATCATTAATTATTAGTTAAAATTAAAAAAAAAAAAAGGAAAAGGGCCTAAAGCCCATAAAATGGGTTGTTGAAAACAAAGGCTTCAAGCCTTAAGCAAAACACTGCCAACGTAAAAGCAGAAAGCCAAAGCCACGAAAAAACAGAACACTAGTTCTATTCGCTTACGAAACAGAGAACCACGAAACAGAGCTGCTTACTCACGCAGGCAACGGAAAATCTTAGGGTTCTTTACAAACCACTAATCCTTGAACTCAGGTATATAAAATTCCCTATTGTTAATTATCCTACCGTGGTAATAAGTAAGAAGTGAATAGTTAATTCCCTTCTTCCTCTATATCAACAGTAAATTTCATATTTAGGTGTAAAACTTTAAAATTGATTAAAATGCACTGATTGTTGTAGAATCGATTGTTTGACTGGTGTCAATTGAACTGGGGCCTACGTATTGGCTCGAGAAGTTTTGAGGTGAGTTGATATAACCCTTTACTAAAGTGGTTTAACTCACAAAAGCATGCATACAAGGTGTTTGATGAATTGCTTAAAAGAGTTTATATTTACTTAATTGGAGCGAGTGAGTATCTATTAACTTAGAATTGTTCTAGCAAAAGTTTAGATGATTTATTACGATATATGTACATAAATTTTCAGATTTTTGTGTTATTCTTATATGCTATTTTCATCTTGAAAATTTATGAAGAAGCAAGAATATTTAGAAATACTTTTACATGATTATTTCATTCTTATGACATGCTTTACATTTGAGGATACCAGCATGAGCATGTACATGATGTTCTATAAAGAAAAGATTTAGACTTGAAAAGTCACAAGAAGTTTTAGAAAGAAAAGATTTTTGGGAGTATCCTTTATTCTGAGAAGGGGTCATCGTCCAAGCCGAGGGTCCTGACCAAGGCGTTGACTTCCTGAAACTACTTGTGCCAAAGTAGGGAGCACACGAGCCGAGGGTCTCGTTGCTGAGAATTTACTTAGCCATGCTAAGGTATGATACATGAGCGTTGTGAACCATGAAGCGAGTGGCACCTCGTGGATTGGGCCTATTCGATCAGGTTGGGATCGAACCCGTGCCGATCACACGGTGAGTAAGATAGAATTAAGTCAGGATAGTTGGAACTCCCACAGTATAAAGTGAAGTATTTTTTTTATAAGAAAGAAAAAGAAAAGAATTTCTTTTAGAATATTCATAAACTGCTATTATGCAATTATTTTAGAATTGTTGGTTCTTGATAAAAGAAATTAAGGGAAATAACGGGGAAGATGACAAGAAAATAAAAAAAATATACTGGAATAGATGTAAAAGGAACTGAAGCTGAAAATACTATATTATTTTACTGCATTTGGACTATAATTTATAAGAGAAATACTAACTTAAAAGACCTAAAAATCAGCACAAAATATGCTGAAAATAACTAACTCCTAAAGACTAGTTCAAAATTATTTCAAATTCAAACTAAACTACTGCAGTAAATAGCTGAAACAGTAAAATAATTTTAGTGAGAGCAGCTTCTAAAGCATATTTCTAACACTCCTCCTTGCTTTTGAAGCTGCAAATTCTGAATTTGTCCCTTGTAAACCTTTAACTGGAAGCGACTTTGTACGTAAATCTGCCAACTGATCTTTGGACTTGCAGTGAATCGAGTTCACTTCTGTATTTTGCTGCATCTCATGATTGTTAATGAAATAAGTTGGCTCGTTTTTCAGCTTCATTTGCATCTTGCCTTGAGACTTGTCAACTTTCTTCCAGAATTGCATTTTCTGAAATATTGACAACTTCTTCCTTACCTTATTTTCACATATGTCCTCAGTTGGAGAATTACCTGCACTTAGTAGATTCTTTTGGCTCCATTCTTCATCTTCGGTTGGATCAAATGAGAAATTTTTACCTCTCATTTTAACCCTTAAAATCTCAAGTCCAGTTGCATCATAAATGAAATAATATTTATCTTCAAAGGATACTTTAAATCCTTTTTCCATTAGTTGTCCAACACTTAATAAATTTTGATCAATATCAGGAACATAAAGAACATCTGAAATTTTCTTAGTACCTGAATTTGTCGGGATTGCAACAGTTCCTTTTCCTTTAGCAAGAATATAATCACCATTTCCAATTCTGACTTTCTTATTTCCTATAGACGTGAACTCTTTGAAAAGATTTCTGTCATATGTCATGTGGTTTGTACAACCACTGTCAATCAACCAAAAATCAGATTTTTTGGTTGAAAGAATAGTTGCTACAAACAAGTGATCTTCTTCTTCTTCATTGGCGACTTGGGCATCTGCTTCATGCTTTTGATATTTGCCTTTGCAAATTATAGCTTCATGACCAAGTTGGTTGCAAATTTTTCACTTTGCATCTGGCCTCTTCCAACATTTGAATGGTGGATGACCTTTTTTGCCACAGTGCTGACAAGGCGGGTAATTTTTTTTAACATTATTACCCTTGCTTTGAGTTTTGTGGTTGGCTGCCAGGGCTCCTTCAACCATACCATCTTGCCTCATAAGCCTCCTTTGCTCTTGTGGCTGCAATGTATTTAACAATTCTGCCAAGGTAATCTTGGATAGATCCTTTGTATTTTTCAAGGTAATTATGGATACTTCATATTTTTCAGGCACCGTAACAAGAATTTTTTCAACAATTCTTGAATCTTTAAATTTAGTACCAAACAATCTTACCTTGTTAACAATGCCAAGCAACCGATCTGAGTATTCTTTGACAGTCTCAGATTCCTTCATTTTTCTGCAACTCGAATTCCCTTATTAAATTCAACACCTTCATGCCTCGTATTCTTTCATCTCCTGTATATTCTCCCTTCAGATAATCCCAGATTTCTTTTGCTGATTTGAGAGTCATAACTCTCGTGAAATTTTTTGCACACACACCAACAAACAAAGTTGCTTTCGCCTTTGATTTCCTGGTTTTCTTTCCTTGTGACTCTTGATCTGGGTCACCGTGGGATTGTTAGGCAGCGAAAGAACATCATAATCCTCTTCCACGGCCTCCCAAAGATCTAAAGCCTCCAAGTAAGTCTCCATTCTCACTGCCCACAGTTGGTAATTTTCACCATCAAAGACTGGAGGAGCCAATTGAGAAAAACTCATTTCAGTCTCCATCTCACTCAAGAAAAGATTTTACTTAGGCCCCTTAAGAAGATGGCTCTTGATACCAATTGTTGGTCCTTGATAAAAGAAATTAAGGGAAATAACTGGGAAGATGACAAGAAAATAAAAAAATATACTGGAATAGATGTAAAAGGAACTGAAGCTGAAAATACTATATTATTTTACTGCATTTGGACTACAATTTATAAGAGAAATACTAACTTAAAAGACCTAAAAATCAGCACAAAATATGCTGAAAATAACTAACTCCTAGAGACTAGTTCACTCCTAAAGACTAGTTCAAAATTATTTCAAATTCAAACTAAATTACTGCAGTAAATAGCTGAAACAGTAAAATAATTTTAGTGAGAGCAGCTTCTAAAGCATATTTCTAACAAGAATCATTCTTATAAGCTTTATGTTTTACATGCATTTAGAACCTTTGCTCGTAATGTATATGTTATTAAAGTTTCGCCCCCTGTTGTTGAGACTCACTGAGTACAATGGATGGTACTGACGTTCTCTTTTGGGAACCTACGTTGGTCTGCGGTACAACGTAGGAACCGATTTTGCAGGCGAGCAGGCTACGGGTTAGGACTTCCTTCTCTTCCAGTGCTATTGGTGAGCTCCGCTTTTGTTCGTGGAGTATTCCTTAGAGTCATCTTTATTTAGTTATTTCTTTGTTTACTTAGAGAATTGGCCAGGAAATCTCATGTCCTGAGCAGTGCGCCAGTTTATCAGTAGAGGCTTCATAGACATAGTCGTTGGGTTAAGATTCAGATGATTTTGATAATAACTTAGCAGTAATTCAGTAGTTACTACGAATAAAGTTTTGGAGTTGATTTATTTAAATATTTAAATTAATCAAAAGTATTTGGTTAGAGTATTGCGTTGTTGCATATAAAGTTTGGAGTTATAATAGATTTGATAAGCAGAGATGGTTCGCTCGGTCATGTTTAGTGATCGAGTGTCGGTCCCGGCTTATTCAGAAAATGGGTCGTGACAACACGTGTTGGGTTATGAGTCTTCTGACTGAAGACAAAAGAGAGTAAATTTATGTGACATAGACCAACAGCTCCAAATGAAGTCTTTAGCTATTTTGATATGAGTAGATTGCAGCTTGAGTGCCTAAATCAATTTAGCTTTGAAAGTTTGTCAATGTTGACTCTGGTAAGCAAATGTATATTCTCATCCCAAACTATAAATAATCCATAACATAAGCCGTTTGGAACTCTAGCCATCTTAAGCTGCATTTCACTATGCATCAACAATGGATCTGATGAGTTTTGTGTTAATTATTATCCTATTTTATATATTTAGTTCGTTTGTCTATTAAATTATGGTTAAGGAACAAACCGAAACAAGTCTATGTACTACTTATAGAAATGTAGTATTATTTAAATGAAACAAACTCAAGTTATGGGAGCAAAACTTCATTCAATTTTTTACAGGAAGCTAAAAGAAAGACCAAAACTATATTAGTACTAGTTTGTTTATCTTCAGAAGCTTTTATTCTACATCCCTGCCTCTTGAGTAATTTTTCCTTTGAGAATGTCAACTGCTGCTGGGAAGGAACAAAGATGATATTCCAAAGAAAGTTATAACTGGAGAGGTGAGTGCCTCATCAACTTTATTGAGGCCTCTATGAAAATTTTAAAATAAAGAATAGCATATGAGCACAACAATCACGTTGTCGTTTAATTTTTGTTACGAGCAATAATAACATTTAATGAAATGCTTGTTAACAAGAAACTAATAGAATTGAGAATTTAAAGAGGATTAGGTATTCCATGAGCAGAGTGATGGAGGCCAGAGAAACTATTGAGCCACTTTAGCATAATAGCCCTCTGCTTTAGATTGCTGTAAATTGTGTAAACAGAGCCATAAATATTAGTCACCAAACACAGAAATACAATTTGAAATTCCATAATACAGTGGACACAGGCTCACACACCTCAAGAAATTGACTTTGTTTTTGGTTGTTTCCTGTAAAGCATATTCTACAACACGGTGTCACATTCAGGAATATCACCTTCTGGTATCCACACACGAAGAAGCTGGTCATAAAACGAGCAAGTAGCAATGACATTATTCTTACCCCTACCGTTCCTCCCTAAACCTCTTTGCCAATCAGCTCCGTATGCCAGGGAACCGTGTTTGTTGTAGGTTTCAATTACTTCAGCTGTATCCCCTTTAACTTTAACAACTGCAAATCCATTGTGCATACAAGCTGCCAAGACTAGGTTAGGTACAGAAGGATGGTGCTTAATTCTCCAAACTCCTCCACCTAAGGAGATTGATGTCTCATGTACAGGTTTTGAGATTGATCTTACATCCCATACCCTTAGGTGTTCATCATAGCAACCGGTGAGTAAGGTGTAAGGATCACTTGGACTCTTAGTAATGCAGCAAATCCCCATTGTGTGAACCTTTCTATTTTGGAATGCCAAGTTAGATGGATCATCTCGCAAATCCCAGCAACTAAATTTGCAGTCATCTGACCCTGTGTACACCAGCTGTGGTTGGTGAATATCAAAAGAGGCAGCCCAAAGTTCAAAGTCATGTGCTTTCCAGTCTCTAGAAATGCTTAGTTGAGACTCAAGGAGTGAAATTATTGAGACTGACCCATCCGAAAGCCCCACAGCGAGGGATGTAGCGGATGGGTTCCAGTCTATACACAAGCACATAGAGGAACTGACATGTTCATCACATAGCTCTAGCAAATGATTCCCTGTAAGAAAGAAGATGATGTCATTGTAGCATGGTAGTGCTTCAGTTAATGCAAAAGTACAGTGTTAAATGAAGAAAGGTATTCAAGGACCACCAGGGCCTAAGTTGCTCGGACTCGGGTGCGGGTATCCGATACGGGGACGGATCCGAGTATCGGATTCGGCAAAATCTAAATTTTAAGATTCGGGGACGCGGATCCGGATATGGATACGGGTGCGGGGATTCGACTAATAAAAAATAGAGCTATACAAATATTGTAAATTTTGAGAGATATTCTGTGAAAAACTTACATGAATATTGAAGAATTTAATTTTTCATTCTCCAAGATGGACATTATTCTTTCATTCTCCTAAATCTGTTTTATTTTTGATTTTGAGAAATCAAAATCTCAATTTTTCTCCCAAATTAGTCGATGGACTCTGGTCAAAGTGTCCGAAGTCAGTTGACCGAATCCGGACGTATCCCACTCCCGCTCCCGTCCCCGTCTCGTATCGGAACGGGGACGACACCAAAATCGAAGAGTCCGCGCAACTTAGACCAGGGCTAAATGAAAGAATAGAAAACCGATGACAATATGATAAATATAAGTCCGTGTACTGGTACGAATCAGAACAAAATCATAATACTTGTTAGAATTTACTGAACTTGGCAATTAGTAATTTAGTATCAGTAGATTCATAATAGCATATATGTTCCAGGCTTCCAGCCCCCCCGCCGAAAAAGCAAATAATCTCTTGTAAGATAGTAAAGGTGGAGATAGGTCATTGCTTCTTGTCATAAGAACTGACAACTAGGTAATTTTATTAATATTCAACATGCATATTGGACTTTTAACACTCGGTCAAATACATGCCCCCCAACCCCACCCCACCTATGATTTATGCATTCCGAGCTACTTGATAGTTTGATAGTTAAATAGTAGTAAATAACCCTAATCTCATATGTATTAGGAGTAGGACATGTATTATGTATATAGGGCTCATTGTATCATTGTCATTAATTAATCAATAATATTTTCTCCCGTGCATTCTCACATGGTATCAGACGGCAGTGAGAAAACATCCGGGAAAGAAAACCCACCCAAACCAGTCGTCGTGCTTCAATTTCGGCGACCTTTTAGGGCTGTTTTCTCGAAAAAAAATAATTTCCATCGGTGTTGTGCAAAAACCAACACCACCACGAGGTAGATCAGCTTCCGGCGACCAAGCCGTAAAAACTTCTCCGGCAGACCACCTCCCACGCGCCCTCACGCGCCGCCGAAAAATATTTTCCGGCAAGTCTCCGCCGTCACGCGCCCATTTTTTGGCCGAGCTTCTTCAGGACAGCCTGGTCGCATAGCAATTCCGAGCCTACCCATACCTTTTTCTTTTTATTCCGAGCACTTTGACATTTTTCCGGCGTGAAAAGTAAGTTTTCAGGCGAGAACAGTAATTCCTTAAAAAATTCTGCTTTTTTCCGGCACAATATTATAATGGCATTCGTATCAGAAGCCTTTAACTCACAATCCGTTGGATCCAATGCATTGAATCCAATCCAGATGGTTTCTTTACCGGATTATATTGAGTTCCTTCAGTACAAAGCACGTAAACAAACATCTTCAGGATTAGCCTCCGTTGTTCCAACAAATAGTAGCATGACTTGTGTCTCCCAATCTTCAACTTCTGAGTCTTGGGTCATTGATTCAAGTGCATCTGATCATATTTCTGGTAACAAATCTCTTTTCACTAGTATTTCATATTCCTAATCTCTTCCAACAGTCACAATGGCCAATGGGTCTCAAGCCATGGCAACTGCAATAGGTCAAGCAAGTCCACTTCCTTCCTTACCTTTAGACTCAGTTCTTTATGTTTCTGGTAGTCCTTTTAATCTCATAGTCGTTAGTCGCTTAGCCAAATCACTCAAATCTGCAGTTTTATTTCTTGATGACCTTGTTTTTATACAGAAACGCAGTACAGGGCGGATCATTGGTACCGGACGTGAATCAGATGGACTTTATTACCTTATCCTTGCAAAATCACATGGACTCGCATCTTGTCTTCCTCCAATAACTTGTCCCGTTACTGATCCACCAGATTTATTACATAAACGGTTAGGACATCCCAGTTTGTCAAAACTTCAGAAAATGGTACCTGGCTTATCTCACTTGTCCACTCTAGAGTGTGAGTCGTGTCAGCTCGGTAAGCATACCCGCTCCTATTTCCCGCGGCATCTTGATAATCGAGCAGAGTCACCTTTTACTTTAGTCCATTCAGATGTTTGGGGTCCTAGTCGGGTTAGTTCTACCTTAGGATTCCGCTACTTTGTCAGTTTCATTGATGATTATTCCAGGTGCACTTGGATATTTTTTATGAAAAACCGATCTGAGTTGTTTTCTATTTTCCAGACCTTCCACGCTGAAATTCAAAATCAATTTGGGGTTTCTATCCGCATATTTCATAATGATAATGCCCTAGAGTATTTGTCTTCCCCATTTCAGTAGTTTATGAACTCCCATGGGATTATTCATCAAACATCTCGTCCGTACATATCCCAACAAAATGGGGTAGCTGAAAGAAAGAATAGACATCTTATTGAAACTGCTCGTACCCTACACATATAATCTCATGTTCCACTGCGTTTTTGGGGGGATGCAGTTCTTACATCTTGTTATCTTATTAATCGTATGCCATCTTCAGCTATCCAAAATCAAGTTCCATTCTCTGTCATGTTTCCCCACTTACCTTTGTTCTCTCTTCCACCCCGTGTCTTTGGGAGTACGTGCTTTGTTCATGACCTTACTCCAGGAAAAGATAAGTTAGCTCCTCGTGCTCTTAAGTGCATATTTCTGGGTTACTCGAGAACGCAAAAAGGATATTGATGTTATTCTCCTGACCTTCAGCGATTTCTTATGTATGCTGATGTTACCTTCTTTGAAAACCAATCATACTTCACCGGTCCAGTTAATCACTTAGATATTTCTGAGGTGCTACCCATTCCTTCTTTTGGAGATTCAGTCCCTATCTCCCATTCATCTTCCTCCATAGCTCCACCGCCTACAGTTCCAGTTGCAGCTCCACCGCCTATAGCTCCAGTGTCACCACCAAGTCCAGTGCCACCACCTAGTCCAGTTCCACCAACTATAGCTCCAGTGCCACCACCTAGTCCAGTTCCCCCAACTATAGCTCCAGTGCCACCACCTAGTCCAGTTCAACCTTCTACAGCTCCACCACTCCTGACTTATCATCGTCGTCCGCCCCCAGGATCAGGCCCAGCTGATTCACGTCCTGCACCTGACCCTGCTAATACTGCGGACTTGTCTCCTCTTAATCAACCGATTGCACTACGAAAAGATATACGGTCCACGCTTAATCCTAATCCTCATTATATCGGTTTAAGTTACCATCATCTCTCATCATCCCACTGTGCATTTGTGTCATCTTTGTCTTCTGTTTCCATCCCTAAGTCTACAGGTGAAGCACTGTCTCATCCCGGATGGCGACATACTATGATTGACGAGATGTCTGCTTTACATACGAGTGGTACTTGGGAGCTTGTTCCTCTTCCTTCGGGTAAATCGACTGTTGGTTGTCGTTGGGTGTATACAGTCAAAGTTGGTCCAGATGGCCAGGTTGATCGACTTAAGGCTCGTCTTGTTGCCAAAGGATATACTCAGATATTTGGACTCGATTACAGTGATACTTTCTCTCCCGTGGCTAAAATTGCATCAGTCCGCCTTTCTCTATCCATGGCTGTTGTTCGCCATTGGCCTCCCTATCAGTTGGACATTAAGAATGTTTTTCTTCACAGTGACCTTGAGGATGAGGTTTATATGGAGCAACCACCTGGTTTTGTTGCTCAGGGGGAGTCTACTGGCTTTGTATGTCGGTTGCGTCGGTCCCTCTATGGTCTAAAGCAGTCTCCTCGAGCCTGGTTTGGTAAGTTCAGCACAGTTATTCAGGAGTTTGGCATGACTCGTAGTGAAGCTGATCACTCTGTATTTTATCGACATTCTGCTTCAAATCTCTGTATTTATCTAGTCGTTTATGTTGACGATATTGTTATTACCGGCAATGATCAGAATGGTATTTGTAAGTTGAAGCAACATCTCTTTCAGCACTTTCAGACTAAGGATCTAGGCAGATTAAAGTATTTTCTGGGTATTGAGGTCGCTCAATCTAGCTCAGGTATTGTGATCTCACAACGGAAGTATGCTTTAGATATTCTTGAGGAGACAGGAATGACAGGTTGTAGACCTGTTGACACTCCGATGGATCCGAATTCTAAACTTCTGCCAGGACATTGGGAGCCTCTTAGCGATCCTACAAGATATAGGCGGTTGGTTGGTAAATTAAATTACCTCACAGTGACTAGACCTGACATTTCCTTTCCTGTGAGCGTTGTGAGTCAGTTTATGGATTCTCCCTGTGATAGTCATTGAGATGCAGTTGTCCGCATTCTTCGGTATATAAAATCAGCTCCAGGCAAAGGCTTATTGTTTGAGGATCGAGGCCATGAGCAGATCGTTGGATACTCCGATGCTGATTGGGCAGGATCACCTTCTGATAAACGTTCTACGTCTGGATATTGTGTCTTAGTAGGAGGAAATTTGGTGTCTTGGAAGAGCAAGAAACAGAATGTGGTTGCTCGGTCTAGTGCAGAAGCAGAATATCGAGCAATGGCTATGGCCACATGTGAGCTAATTTGGATCAAACAGTTGCTCAAGGAGTTGAAATTTAGTGAGATTAGTCAGATGGGACTTGTGTGTGATAATCAAGCTGCTCTTCATATTGCGTCAAATCCAGTGTTCCATGAGAGAACTAAACACATCGAGATTGACTGTCACTTTGTTAGAGAAAAGATACTCTCGGGAGATATTGCTACAAAATTTGTGAAGCCGAATGATCAGCTTGCTGATATTTTCACCAAGTCCCTCACTGGTCCTCGTATTAGTTATATATGTAACAAGCTCGGTACATATGATTTATATGCACCAGCTTGAGAGGGAGTGTTAGTTTGATAGTTAAATAGTAGTAAATAACCCTAATCCCATATTTATTAGGAGTAGGACATGTATTATATATATAGGGCTCATTGTATCATTGTCATTAATTAATCAATAATATTTTCTCCCGTGCATTCTCACACTACTGAAGTATGATCACTCACAAGACCAGAATTATCACTACCAAAAATTTGAGACTTTCGCTATTACTTTGAGTAACCACTAGAGCTGGCTAGCCAATTACTTAATAAAGATTAAAGGCCAAATGCATATGTGCCCCTTAAACTTGTCTAACTTTTTCATTTTGAACACACGAACTCAGGCTAGTATCAATTGGAAAGTGTACCAATTAGACACATTTTCTCTAATTATGCCTAAATTATTAATTGTCTAATTGGTGCACTTTTTAATGAGTTTAGACGCCCAACAAATAGTAGCCTAAGTTCGTGTCTAAATGAAAAAATCAGAAAAGTTTAAGGGGCCGCATATATTTGGCCAAGATTAAAAAAGAATGACATTACAACTGAGGGAAACTTTTTGATAGCTAAGTTAAGAAAAATTCAATTTCTAATGAAGGTGGTTATGAAGATTGTATTACATCTAGGTCATTGACACAACGTATTCTGATTCCTACAATCTACACGTTCTTAAAACTTTCCAGTCTTTCCTTCTTCTGGTTCAGTCTTGTAGTGAGGAAAGACATCTATATAATTCTATTAACATTTTGCACGTACATTGAACTCCTACAACAACAACAACAACAAGATATCCAGTATAATCCCACAAGTGGAGTCTGGGGAGGAGAGTGTGTATGCAGACCTTATCCCTGCCCGGAGACGTATAGAAGCTGTTTCAAAATACAGCCTCCTACACTTTGTCAAAATACATGCCCTCAAACCTACGATTTATGCAATTCAAGCTACCTATGAAGTATGAACACTCACAAGACAAGAATTGTCGGTATCAAAAAATTTGAGTCTTTGATCACTACTCTAGGTAACCACTTTACTTGGCTAGAGAATTACTTATAAAGATGTTTTTAATTGAGGGACACTTCCTGATAGCTATTTTCTTTTTTTAAAATAAAAAAAATCAATTTCTAATGGAAGTGGTTAAGCGGTATGTATTACATCTAGGACATTGACACATCGTACTACATTCCTACAATCTACAAATTATTTTTAAAAAAATTCTTTCCTCCATCATAGACAACTGCTATATACAAATGTAATAAAAGCAAGAAAAGGATATAACATACAGCTATTTATTCCTGATATGATAGGTAACCAGAAGGACTTCTTCATGTTCCAATACAACATACTATGCTCTTGCAATACTACATCATATGAATCCTAAATACTCATTTTACTACACTTTGGACCCATTTCGTTCCAATACTCTACAACTTGGTATTCACTATATTGTAAAGAAAATTAAATTAGTTTTCTCCAGCACACAACATTTATCAATATTGACAATTATAACATATAACACGAAAGGAGACTCAAACATACCAGGAATATCTGATCCATCTAAACAAGATTTAAGTCTGTGAACTCTCACATAACCATTAGCATCAGCTTGAGCAAGTGATGGGCCCACATTTCCACCAACTGGGCTCCATTTTATGTCAAAAATACCAGCTGTTTGTACTCTCTGTGTCAAGTTAAGTCGACTGGATTCAGCATCAACATCAAAGAGGGATATACTGCCAGTTCTACTAGGCTGATCTCCTTCTTGTAAAGTATAGGTGCAAGCGGCAAGAACGTTGTGAAAAGATTCATGTGGACAGAACTCCACAGCATCGGCATTTCCATCAAGGTGGCAATGAGCTATATCCATACCTACATAAGTTTAACAAATAGGGTGAATGGAAAAAATAAATCATGTTTAGTTAGACAATTCGTCGAACAGGTTGTGAACTATGAACTATAAGAGAAATGTGCTTTTCTCAACGGAAAAAAGATGTTGCAAGGGATAATAATTATCAACTAGAGTTGTGTTAAGGATATTAAACACCTTTGTTCCTTTGGCAACAAATTAAGACCTGACTGGTTGGCTGAAGCGCCAAAACAACATCATATATGTACTTAACCACCCAGGTGTGAACTATAGGCCAGTGATGAGAAAAGCGCCCGCTTCCTCGCTTTAAGCGAGAAGCGAAGCGGAGCGAGGGGCTGGTCGCTACTCCAATTAAAAGCGGCTCAGGTACACATAAGCGACCGCTTCTCTCTAAAAAGCGAGAAGCGGAGCGGAGCGGAAGAAGCGGTCGCTTTTTGAATTAAAAGACCCAACGTCTGTTTTCAATTAAAAGACCCAAATCGCTGACTTCTGTTTTAGACACTTCTTCGACTTCTTCAGCAGCAAACTAGGGTTCTAAACCAGCGATTTCTTCCTCACTTCAAGCAGCGATTTGTTCAAGCAAACTAGGGTTCTTCTTCTTCTTCTTCAACATTACAACAACAGCTTTCAAGTTTCAACAGGTATGTTTTGCTTTTGCACTTTTTATTTTCATTCTTCTTCTTCTTCTTTTTCTTTTTCTTTTTCTTTCTAAACGTCCAAAAAGCGCGGAAATGCTGGCGAATTTTTTTTCCAGAAAATTTCTGCCCAAATTCTTAGTTTTTTTTTAAATTCCGCTTCACTTCAAAAAAGTGGGCGCTTCGCTTCTCGCTTCTCGATTTTCGTGAAATGGGGGTTGTCACTTTTCCTCGCTTCACGCTATTCACAACACTGCTATAGGCACACCGCTCGGCTCCAAACATCTCCTAGGACCATTCTTGGGATTTTATCGTATGCTTTTTCTAAGTCAATGAACACCATATGCAAGTCCCTCTTCCTCTCCCTATACTGCTCCACAAATCTCTTTACAAGGTGAATGGCTCCTGTAGTTTAGTGCCCCGACATGAATCCGTATTGGTTCTCATAAATAAACACACTCCTCCTCAACCTCACTTCCACCAACTTCTCCCAAACTTTCATAGTGCGGCTTAGCAGCTTGATACCTCTATAGTTGTTGCAGTTTTGGATATCACCATTATTCTTGTACAATGGAATCACCGTACTCCACCTCCATTCTTCGGGCATCTTTGAAGTCCTAAAAATGACAATAAACAACCTAGTAACTAGGAAGTCACTCCAAGCCTGCCCTGTCCACTTTGTTCTAGAACTCCACCGGGATCTAATTTGGCCCGATCGCTCTTCCTCTGCTCATCTTACACATAGCCCCCTCAAGCTCCACAACTTTTATGCGCCTATAATACCCAAAATCTCAACGACTCTCGTAAATACTCTAAATCATCCAGCACAATGTTCCTATCTCCCTCTTTGTTGAAGATTTTATGGGAGTGCATCCGCCATTTTCATCTAATATGTGTCTCTTCCACTAATATTTTGCCTTCCCTGTCTTTGATGCACTTCACTTGGTCCAGGTCACGAGTCTTCCCCTCTTTCACCTCGGTTAACCTGTACAACTTTTTGTCCCCACCTTTGTTTCCAAGTTCTTCACACAAATGCCCAAACGCTGAAACCTGAGCCACCATAACTGCTAAATTTAGAGAATACCAAGTTGTAGAGTAATGAAATGGGTCCAAAGTGGAGTGAAATGAGTATTTAGAAGTCATATAATGTTAGTATTGCAAGGGCGTATACGTTGTATTGGATCATTGGAACATGAAAAAGGCCCTCTAGTTACTGTCAAATCAGGAATAATAATTGTATGTGATATCATTTCCTAACTTTTATTACATTTGAATATAGTTGCATATGATAGAAAGAAGGAAAGACTGAAAATTTTAAGTAATGTATAAATTGTAGGAATTGAAGTCCGATGTGTCAATCTCCAGGATGTAATACATGTTGCTTAACCACTTCCGTTAGAAACTGAATATTTTTATTTTAAAAAAAATTAGATATCAGGTAGTGTCCCTCCGTTAGAATATCATCTATTTAAAATATTTATAAGTAATTCTCAAAGTAGTGGTCAAAGGCTCAAGTTTTTTGGTACTAACAATTCTTGTCTCGTGAGTGTTCATACTTCATAGGCAGCTCGGAATGCATAAATCACATGTTTGAGGGCATGTATTTTGACAAATTATAGAAGTTCGATGTGCAAGCATAATATTAATAGAATTACCTAGTTATATTTTCTCATTACAAGACTGAACCAGAGGAGAGCTGGAAAGTTTCAAGAATGTGCATGATCTCTATGATTTGAACGAAGTTGAAAGCTATAATCTCCGAGAGCAAGTTAGCAGAATACCCTTCCATCTTTATATGATATTAAAATGGTTAACAAATGATCAATCCTAAATACTCAATAATTAATGAGTTCTATTGATGACTACGTACGTAGTTGATCATAGAATAAAGAATTCTTAACATAACACTTCTACTTCATAACCATAAATTGATAACAACAGTATTTGATGAGAACGTTTGTTAGAATGAGGAATGACAAACTACAGGGAAATACTTCCTACATGACAGACAAACAACTTCTCCAATAAGCCAGGTACAAAAAATAATAATAAATGACTAGCATGTAATATCTCTTATACTTTTGATCCTAAATTAATGAAGACATGCCAATAGCCGTGTTCTCTAAAATCTCGGCAGTAGTGTTGTAAAAAGCGAGCACTTCCTCGCTTAAAGCGAGAAGCGAGGCGAGGCATCTGGCGCTTCTCTTAACTGAAGCATAGCAGATTTACAAAAGCGTTCGCTTCTCTTGAAAAAGCGAGAAGAGATGAAGCGATGCAAAGCGTAAGAAGCGAGCGCTTCTCTTTATAACTGGGCAGCCGGCGTATTTAATTAAAAAGGATGTCTTTTTTTAAAAGACCATCGAGCAGCAGCAACGGAGAACAACAAAGGCGTCCTAGGGTTCAAGTTCTCTACACTTTTCAACTTCAAGATCATCAAGTTTGGTCTCTTCTTCTTCTTCAGCTCTTCTTTCTCATTCTTCTCCTCTTCTTCTTCTTCTTCATTTTCTTGCACTGTTTCAGTGATAAAAATGCTGAAATGCTGCCCATTTTATCGTTTCATTTATACTGCCCTTTTTCGTATACTTACTGCCATTTTTTTCATATGATTTATTATTAGTTCTTATTGCCTTTCTTATGTGTTATTTAGTTGTTCTTTTAATGGCACCAAAGAAAAATAAGAAAGACCCGGTTTGGGCTTATTCTGCAAGAGTTAGCGAGACCAACAAGATGGCAATTAGATGTCTTTAGTTGATGCTACTCTTTAGTTTTTACATTGAAGTATTGAATATTTGCTTACAATTACATGTGTTGTCTATGCAGTATTTATTTTAATATTTTCTTAAAAATTCCGCTTCACGTCAAAAAAGCGAGCGCTTGCTTCTCGCTTTAAGTGAAAAGGGACTTGTCGCGTTTCCTCGCTTCACGCTCTTCACAACACTGCTCGGCAGTGTATTACCACTGCTCGGCAGTGTATTACCAAATCTCAAAGACGGATTTAACACATTAACAAACATTCAGTAACACATCCTACTTAGTTATTTTCTAATATTTTAACAATATTGCTAGCAAAGGAACGCTAAAGGAATTTAAATCCAGTAACTGCACTCATTTTATCATACCAGTGATTTTCTGTGGATATGACTCTATACATAAGAAATATTGCTAGCATAGGAACGCTAAAGGAATTTAAATCCAGTAACTACACTCATTTTATCATACCAGTGATTTCGGTGGATATGACTCTATACATAAGAAAAAGCAACTAAGTGATTTTCTATAACCAGATAATCACAGAAATCTAGAAGATGGTTTCTACTGCACAAAATATGAAATGCTTTACGGCCTAAAACAGGACAAAGAAAGATAATTAAAAAAAGAAAAGAAAAGGATACTGACCTTTTTAGTGCAGCGAACCAGCGTGTCCAACGATCTACTATCTACAGCTACCTTGAACGGTTGTCAAACTCCGGAAAGAACAAAGCATCGCCTCTGTCGTAGTCGCGCATAACAGGTAGAGGCTAAAAGAAGAGAGGGTTCTTTAGAGTTGCCCGAAATGGTGAGATTCTTTAGAGCATGAAGATGGTATGGCCACTGGGGATACGCCAAAACGAAGGCAGATGGCGGACGACCTTTGCTCAAAATGGTGGATTTTGGGCTTAATGGGTCAATATTGGGTCTTCTCAATCAACTGCTGTAGGTGCAACTTTAGTGGGCTAAAACGTTGTACCTATAATTTTGAAACGGTTGTCCAAAAATTACAAGACTTTAAGCTTTGCTTTGGGCCTTTTACTCCTCCTTTCATTTTTCTTTGGACTTCTAATATTTCTGTCAAAATAGCACTGGCGCCATTTTTCAGACTGGTAATCAAAAAATAGCCAGCATTTTTTATGTTAGGATTTGTTTCGCATGTGTCACACTGACTCCTCTCATTTTGCATGTCAGACTCTTATCATGGGGATCGAGCGTGACCGGCGGGAGGAGCGGAGGATGACCACTTTTAAGAAGATGACCTCCAAGTACAAGGAGTTCCGTACTAAGCATCGAACGCTGGCCGACTTCCTTAGCCAGGATGGAGAATTTCAGTCTCTTCGTGATGGGCTCAAACAGAAAGACGATGAGCTGATAAAGAAGGATGAAGAGCTAAGGGAAAGGGACGATGAGCTTATGAGGTCCATCAGTAGGTGCAGCGAGCTTGAGACAATGCTGAGGGCCAAAGAGGACGAGCTCGAGGTGAGTAAGGGGTGATGGCTGAGAACGCCGACCTTCAAACGCAAGTGGCGTCCTTAACGGCTGAACTCGGGCAGAGGGAGGCAAGGGCTATCGATCTGAGGGGTGAGCTAAGTGCCAAGATCGAAGAATTGAGCCGGGCTGAGAAAGGCAGAATGGTCGCTATGACTGAAGCGGCGGCCCTAGAAGACGCCATCCGTGTTTGCAGGTCCGAGCGGGTTAATGAGGTGGAGACATCGGCGCTTAAGGTGGCGAGGTTGGAAGAACGGATCCAGGGTTTGGAGGCGGAGTTGTCCGAGTTAAACCAGCAAGTCATTAACTTGAGGGCCGAAGAGACTCGACGGCAATCACAGCCGTCTACATCTCATACTTCTGCCGATCCCGGTGTGCCGCGGGAGTTGTATGAGATGTGGGTCCATGTTGAGGCTCAACTTGACATGTACTATTCTCTGAAGGCTACCGAGAAAGTTTTTGAAGCGGAGCTTGAGGGCGTCCGCGTCAAGGCATGTGCAGCCCGTGAAGCTTGTGGCTACGACCCTGGTACGCTTGGCGGGGATGAGGATGACGATCGCGGATAGGCTTGCCTCTGATCCTTGGTATGATGATGAGTACGCTGATGGGGATAATGTGGCGTGAAGCTGTTGCACTTATTTTTTTTTTTTTTTTGCTATTTTTGTGAGGGCGTCCTCGAGCCCTTTGTAAAAAGTATTGTAATTCGATAATTGAAATGGAACAATTCCCTTTTTGCTATGTATTTCTGGATTCCCGTTCTCTTTTCCTCTTCTTTTTTTTGCTTTGTGGGGAAGTCCCTGATTTTTCGGTTATTTGTATATGTTTGATATTGGTTGAGTCGAACATAGACTGATTTGAGGTCGAGTATTAATTAGCTCGGACGAGATCAAGGTTTGATGAGGTCGAAAATCATATAATTCGAGTGAGGTCGAATGTAAAGTGATTCGAGCGAGGTCGAATGTAAAATGATTCGAGCGAGGTCGAATGTCAAGCGATTCGAGCGAGGTCGAATGTAAAGTAATTCGAGCGAGGTCAAATGTAAAATGATTCGAGCAAGGTCGAATGTAAAATGATTCGAGCGATGTCGAATGTAAAGTAATTCGAGCGAGGTCAAATGTAAAGTAATTCGAGCGAGGTTGAATGTAAAATGATTCGAGCGAGGTCGAATGTAAAATGTAAAGTGACTTGGTGGAGGTGCAAAGATGTCTCTTTATTTCATTCATTGGAGAATATTACATATTTCTGTTTGTTCCATACATATATTGGAGAAGTTCCGGTGTACCTAGTCCCTTCATCGTTCGGCCTGGAGAAGTAGTCGGCAGGCGGGGCGATGAATTAACTTGAACTTTGAGACGTCCCCTTTGTCGCCTTATTAAAAACCTCCCCGAGAAAACCCAATTGGGACAAAACCCATGCGAGGAAAAAAGAGTACGACTTGGAGGGCGTCCGTTTTCAGAAGTTGAAGTATTTGAGGTGGGCGACGTTCCAATTGTTTTATAGTAGCTTTCCCTCCATTGTTTCTAGTTGGAATGATCCTTTGTTTGCTGCTGCTGTGATTTTGTATGGCGCGTCCCAATTGGTTCCTAGTTTACCTTCTCTTGAATCTTCGCTCGCTTGTGTTTTGGCCTTGAGTACATAGTCTCCGACTTTGAGTGGTCGTACTTTGGCTTTTTTTTTGTAGTACCGTTGTGCTTGTTGTTTTTGGGCTATCATTCTTATGTAAGCCATGTCTCTTCGCTCCTCTACTTCGTCGAGGTCTTGTTTCCTGTTCTCGTCGTTGCTTGGTCCACTTTCATTGGAGTATCTCAAACTAGGTTCTCCGAACTCGACTGGTATTATGGAGTCAGTCCCATATACTAGTGAATATGGCATTTCTCTTGTGCTTGTTTTTGGCGTGGTGCGGTATGCCCACAGTACTTTTGGTAGTAATTCCGGCCATAGTCCCTTGGCGTCCTCAAGATTTTTCTTCAAGATATTTAGTATTGTTTTGTTGGAGGGTTCGACATGGCTGTTACCGGCAGGGTGATATGGCGTGGAGAGTATTCACTTTATGTGCCATTTTTTTAAGAATTCGGCGATCTTTTTTCTGGCGAATTGGGGTCCGTTGTCACAACTAATTTCTTTGGGGATGCAGAAGCGACATATGATGTTTCTCCATATGAATGTGATAACTTCCTGATCGCATATTTGGGCGAACGCACCTGCTTCTACCCACTTGGAAAAATAGTCAGTTAAAACCAAAAGAAATCATTTATTACCTTACCCTACTAGAAGGGGTCCGACAATGTCCATTCCCCATTTGATGAACGGCCATGGTGATGTAACCGAGTGGAGGTGCTTGCCTGCTTAGTGTATCATAGGAGCGTATTTCTGGCACTGCTCGCACTTCTTGACGTAGTCGGAGGCTTCCTTCTCATTGTGGGCCAATAATAACCCGCCCGAATGAGGCATCTAATGAGGGATCGGTTGCCGGTATGGGCACCGTAGTGGCCTTCGTGTACTTCCTCGAGGACGCGTCTTGTTTAGTTCGGCCCTAAGCATTTTGCCAAGGGACCTCCAAACGTTCTTTTGTATAGGTCGTGGTTTATGATGTTGTACCTGGCCGCCTGCATTCGAAGCTTTTTTGGCTTCCTTTTTGTCTGATGGGAGTACTCCCTCCTGCAAATATGTTATAATACGGTTGCGCCAGTCCCAAGTCAAATTTACAGAGTGTACCTCAAGTTGGTCTATTGACGAGTGGAGGAGGGTGACCACGTTTTCTTTTGTAATGTTTTTGGTGGCCGCTGCTAACTTGGCGAGGCCATCTGCCTCAATGTTTTGTGCTCGAGGTATCTGGTCGAGTCGACATTCGTCAAATTCTGGTAGTAGTTTATGAATTTCTGCCTGGTACTTTTGTATCCTCTACTCTTTAATTTGGAAAGTCCCTGTGACTTAGTTGACAACGAGTGTGAGCCGCATCTGAGGATGACTCGTCGTGCTCCGTATTTGAGATCTAGCTTTAGTCCTGCAATTACGACCTCATACTGGCCTCATTATTAGTCATATCGGGGCACCGTATGGATTGGCGGATGACTTCGCCTGTTGGGACCTCGAGTACGAGTCCCAATCCAGATCTTGACGCGTTGGAAGCGCCATCGATGTATAGGACCCATAGGTCGGGTAACCTGGGAGAGGTACAAGAAGTTTCTTGCTCGACTTCGAGCATTATTTTAGCACTAAAATCGGCGACGAAGTCGGCGAGTACCTGCGATTTTATCGTTGTTCGCGGCTGATATGTTATATCGCGCTCGCTCAATTCTATGGCCCACTTGCCCAATCTCCCCGACAGTTCGGGTTTATATAGGATGCTCCTTAGGGGAAGGTCGTCGCCACCGATATAGGGTGGCATTGAAAATAGGGTCTAAGCTTTCGTGAAGCTATGACCAATGCCAAGGCCAATTTTTCGAGGTGGGGGTACCTTGTTTTGGCGTCGACCAGGGTTTTGCTAATGTAATAGAATGGAGATTGCGCACCTTTGTTTTCACCGACCAATACTGCACTTACTACGACATCTGATACTGCCAAGTATAACAAGAGGCGCTCGCCAGGTTCTGCTTGGCGAGTAGAGGGGGCGATGACAAGTATGCCTTTAGTTCTCTTAAGGCCTCGATGCATTCTGAATTCCACTGGAGACCGCTGTCCTTTTTGAGCATGTTGAAGAATTTGTGGCATCTGTCGGAGGATCATGAGATGAACCTTGACAGGGCAGCTATGCGGCCTATCAGTTTTTGCACCTGTTTCTTGCTGGTCAATACTTCAGGTATTCCCTCGATGGCCTTGATTTGGTCGGGGTTGTCCTTGATGCCTCTTTGTGATACCAAGAAGCCGAGGAGCTTGCCCGAAGTTACGCCGAAGGCACATTTTTCGGGGTTCAGCTTCATGTCGTATTGAATTAGTATACCGAAGGCCTGTTTCAGGTGGTCGATGTTGTCTTCCTTCCTTTTTTATTTGACCAACATGTCGTCTATGTAAACATCCATTGTTTTGCCGAGTTGGTCCTTGAACATCTTGGTGATCAACCTTTGATAAGTCGCTCCTGCGTTCTTCAACCCGAATGGCATGACTCTGTAACAGTACGTTGCCTGATGGGTGATGAAAGTAGTCTTTTCCTGGTCCTCCTCCTCCATGAGGATTTGGTTGTAACCTGAGTAGGCGTCCAAGAAGCTTAACAACTCGTGCTCTACTATTGCGTCGATGAGCTTATCGATATGAGACAACAGAAAGGAGTCTTTCGTCCAGGCTTTGTTTAGGTCCGTGAAATCCACCCACATCCACCACTTCTCATTTTTCTTTTTCACCATGACTACGTTGGCGACCCCTTAGGGGTATTTTGATTCTCGGATGGAGCCGTTAGCGAGTAGCTTATCCAC